GTTGTTTCCTGTAGGAAAACAGCTTGCTGATGCAAGAATACACAAGCCATTATGTGCAAGCTTGTAAAATACCATGCAATTCAGCTGAAGCCTGTAGGTATTTATCTTATTAGTGCTATGTAATCAAATAATCCTTTGAGAGAACTCTCCCTGGAACCACTGTGCAATTCATCTACAAGGTAGAGGAAACGCTTGGGTCTAACCTTTGCTGTTCTATTTCGGGCCTATTCAGCAGTGCCCATGGTAGCCACCCTCTGAACACCCTCATGTCAGTCGTGTTCCATCTTTTGGGTGTTCGTGGCCTCACAATTGCTGCTGGTTACCCAAAGAGCTGTGATAAATGCTCTGCTGTCCACTTGTGTTGAACCTGGCTATCTCCTCCTCTGAGCGTTGAGTGTTTCATTGAGTATTTGAAGTGCAAACCATCAGTTCTTCTAAATATAGCAGCTTATTCTCTTTTGAGCAGCACAGGAGACTTGGAGAACACCTCTCTGATGTCAAGGCCCCTCTGACCTGTGAAATGCAAGGACATAAACCTGATTTTCAAAGCTTGCTGTGGTGTTGATCTGAACTATACCACAGACCCATCCTGTCCCTGTAATCACAACTCCCTAAGACACCCATACTCCTATGTCATACTGTGTATTCATAAACTGGAAGAAAACTTTTTTTAGCAATGCCAGAGCTTAGTTCTGAAGATTTTGAAAATAACTGTGAATATTTCCTTATTTTGTTTACTTGCTCTTACCTGGAAAGAAAGGGAAGAAATGCAGCCTGTTATTGCAGTGACTGAAAGACAGAAAGGGAGAAGCTGAGAGGAAGGAGAAGCTGGGATGAAAGTTTTTGCAGGAGCGCAGTCCAGATCACACACCATTGAATTTATCATTGACCATGGTATAGATTTTAAAATACTTGAATCAAAAAGGGAATGAGGGGAAAATAGCAAATGAAATCCATCTGTATGAGAACAGGATATACCATCAATCAGCTCACAAAGAGTTTCTCTATGCGTGTTGCCCTTGGACACTCATACAGAGAAGGGCCACATCTACTTACCAAGGAAAAGCCGTGGCACTGAATGTGTACAGCACATGCATCCCTTTTATGCGGTGTCTTTTCATGCAAGTGTGTTTGTGATATACGTACTTTACAGGGGCATTTACAGTACCATACATCTGAAGAGCTATCCTTCTCTAGAGTCCAGATTGTTTTATTACCAGCTAAATGTTCTTTAAGCTACCTGTGAATGAGGGCATTGTGACATTTAGCAACTGATTTGATTGAAAACAGATGTGAACCATATTCCATATGGAGAAGATCCAAAAGGAGAGATCCTAGGCTTGTTTCTGATTCGCAAGTAGGAGTTTGAATGCAATTACTTGGCATTGAGCTACCAAGATAGATGGAAACAAATCAGTTGCTTACATATCTACAGTAATACAAATGTAAAATCAGCTGCAGTTTGAGATAGTGCACTGTCTTCAGGGGTCAGGAAAAAAGGCTAATATATTATATGAAAGCAAAAGTCATGTGGAAATGGGCAGTATCCACTGAGAAGTGGGAGGGGGACAGGCATTTGTGGACATTGCTTACCAAGAGGCTTTCTAGGCGTGCCCTGTTCCACATAAGCACTGCTTTCTAATGTCATTCCAGTCTCTCTCTGAATATTACAAGGAGTGCTATTACCTGGGAAAGCATTTGAAAAAAATGGTTACATGGGGAATAGGGCTAGATTGATAATGCCAGTATGCAAGGTCTGTTGATAATTTTCCAACATTTCTTGAGTGTAAGGTTTACTGATACAAAACTGAAATTGCACATGGCAAAATTCATTTTATTATGGAAATGTTTATTTCTTATCAACAACTTAAAGAGGAAAAACAAACATTAAGGGCCAGGTCTGAACTGAATTCTACAAGGCTGCTCACAGAAACTGTAAGTAGCAGGCTTCATTCTCGGCTCATGAAGAGAGTGTTTATCCTTGTCTTCATCACTGTGGTGCTTGTTTGTTTTCCTTACATTTGAACTGCTTGTGCATCATTGAAAACATGGTCTCTCCAGTCTAGCCTGTAAAGTGGAACAGCTGTAGTCCCCAAGACAAAGGTTGATGTTGAAATGAAATGTTTCTGAACCTTGAATCTTCAAGAACTTTATTTTCCATGCAGATAATTGATTATTTTTTTTCTCCCAGCTTTTCATCCTTGTTCAGCTGGGAAGATTTTCCAAGTTTTTACTAGCTTTGGTTGTTTGGTTGTCTGAAGTGTCTTCATCTGTAACTATTCTGCTATAACAATATTGAGCTGCCAAGAGATACTGAGCTTAGCAGCTCTCGGGTTGCATTATCTGAATGCAGTGCTGAAGGGGCAGAAGAAGATGGTTGTGTTTGATCTCAGTTTAGACAAATTATGCTCAAATGAAACTCCTTCTTGGTCAGGATACAATGACAGGGGCCAGAATTGGTGAAAAACCTGAGTTGCCAAAATCTGTTCCCAGGCCTGTTGAACTTCAGGTTATAGGAAATACCAGTCTTAAGTACTTTTACAAGTATTTAAATATGCAGGTAAAAAATCAGGAGATTTAGTTTCTGTCTCTGCACCACAGTACTTCCTTTTGAAAATCCCCTGGGCAGAGGGAGTGAGACTGCAGCAGCCTGTAGGGACACCTGAACTTGGACCTGAGGTAGTTCAGCTAAAATAGGATAAAATGCATTCTACAAAACCACAGTGTAAAATCCACCACACAGAGTCTAGTCACAATGTACTGTGGGAAGCTATGGAGCGCGAGTCATTCCCTATCCTCTCACCCCTACGTTTCTACCCTTTTCTCCCTGCTCACAAACCTGCCCTGTGTGTGCATGAACACACTCACTTTGCACAGCTGGTGCAAGGTTCAGAGTAAGTTCATTCCAATTGTGCAGATCTCTCCTTTTTAGAATTCTCTGTTTGGAAACCAGGAATATATGGTATCATGTGCAGGTAGCACAGCAATAAACATGTTCTCATCACAATTTACACATAAAGTGTGAGTCCCTCGAGGTAACTCATCCCCCTCTTGACAGCTTTAATAAAGGATGATGGATTGTTTCTAAATGACAGTTTAGGAAGATGAAAAATTCCCCCCTGTATTGTTTTGAGCTCTGGTGTACAAGAGCTGTTTTGTGTTCTGTGAAAGTTGTTTTTGCCTGTAAGCGCTGAGGCTCTGTTACTCCCCTTCACAGTGGTGAGAAATGTTTAGTTACCACAGGAATATATTCATCCTGCTGCGTACTCGTGGCTTTTTGAAAAACTGCAGAAAAGCAATGCCTAGTATGGGCAGGAGGTGGGGAAATGCCCATAGCTCAATGCATTGCTGTCTTCGGGATGCTGCTCTGGGCAGTCTCCCCATATGGGTTATGGGAAGGAGGAGGGATTGGATACTAATCCACCCAGAGTTGCTTCTGAGGAGTGAATACGAGGAAGAGGCATCACCTGAACCACCTGTGCTGGCTCAGCTCTCCAGCCAGCACGTGCAGGGGGCTTGGGGAGACCCAGGGCTCCAGGTACCTGACAGTCACCTGCACCTTCTTTACCCCCTCTCTGCCCTTTTCTTTTTAAAGGGTACATGTGGCAGCAAATTAGTTCTGGAGGGCAGTCCTCCTCCTCGTTTCTTTTTGTCTTGAGATTTATTTCGCAGTGCATGTGCTTTGTAGCTGCACTTGGCAGAGTGGAGTTTGTTCAGCTGTCCATTCCCTAGCTAATCTGGCGTCTTAAAATAAAAACAAGCAAGTGGATCTTTGGAGAAAGGTTGCCACATGAAGATGTGCAGGGAGTCATATGGTTAAAACCACACTGCTCAAAGTCATTCACATGGTAAGAAACCAGATATGAAAAAAAGGCTGAGTGCCTGATTAGGGCTTAGGCTGGCAGGGTACATCGAGGTGACAAAATGAAGCCAAGGCAAGAGCCCGCTGTAGTCATGCAGCACCAAAAATCGCACCTCTTTAACTGTGGAAGTAGAGTCTGAGTGCTCTTTGGAGCTCGTCACCTTCCATTAGGATGGAATATGGCATAGTCTAGCTTTTGCTTTCTGTATATGAACAGCCAGCCCTTGGAGCAAGCACTGTTGCAAAACACTGGAAGAAGATTTTTAGTATAGATTCTCATCAAACCACCCAAACTCAAGAGGAAATTCTCCACCCATGTGAAATGGAAAATTTTGAAATAGAAACAGCATGGACTGGAGTTAAATCAAGGCTAGAATTTGCCAGGGGTGCAGGATCCAGGGGATGGGAAGGTTGCAGCTCTCCTACCACTTCCGTGGTGGGATGCGGAGAAGGACTGTCCCTGTATGTCTTGTCTGAACCTTTACTTCTCCACCCATAAAGTTTTTGGAGTAATGCTTTCTCCAGCTAAGGAGGCCTGGCTGGACATCAGCTGCTTCATTTGGGACAGAACCATGTAAAACTCACCTGTCCATACTTTTTCTTCCTAATATCCCAAGATGAAGCAATGTTTTTGCTCCCTGCTGTCCCAGAAATCTTAGCAATATTGTTCTTATGTGTGGAATATCAATACCAGGGAACAAATTTTGAAAGTCGTCTAAAAATCCCCAGGTACCTGGTCTCTGAGGACAGATTCCAAGACATATCTAGGCATTAAACTGTGGTTGTATATGTAATTTGAGGGGTTTTCCTGTAGGGGATGATGATAAAAAACATTCTTCCATTATTTACTGGAAAAAGAAGTAACTGAATTTTCAATTTGGGTTGAATCCTTGCTTTCCAGCTTTGTTTCCCAGCTCCATAAGTGTTTGAGTGTATGTAATGGTTGTCATTCAGTGCCTTTCAGTAAGCAGACCTCAGTAATAGCCCTAAGTCTTTATAGCCTATCTTTGTCAAGATTTGTGATAGACTTTTTTCTAGTGATCCGGTACTTTACTTCCTGTTGGAAATTATTTGTATTGATATATTCTGTTACTTTGATTGTTAATGTGTTTTATGACCATTATATTCTTTCCCTCAGGCACAACAGGGATTTACCAGGGAGCCAATGGCCTGACAAATTC